ACTCGGAATTCTGTTTGTTTTTATGAAAAAAGAGTTAAATCTCCTACTGAGATTGTTTGCTTAATATGTTCTTTCATCGTTTACTGGGCAGGTCTACAGAAGACGGAGAGAGTAGCAAGTGATCCAGGGAGCAGAGAATAACCTAGGCAAATGATACAAATAGAATTCGTGGAATTGGATGTATTGCATTGGGTCACATGGGCTGATTATATAGGGTACATAGGACTAACACCCCACGTGAGTAGACAATGTGGTACTATTTCTATTTACTCTAACACTACCAACAGAAACTGATCTGCAGCTGGTTCCTTATGCTGGTTCATATTCGGCGTCTTGTGCAGCCTGTGATGGTGGAGCCTTTGGCGTGGGATCAGTTTTTAGATTTTGGTCAGCGGTGTTGCTTCGTACTGTCTGCAGGTCTCTGTGTGTGGTCTGGGCCAAACGTTTGCTGATCCCTTTGTTTTGGCGTATGTCTTTGTTTTGGCGGGTTGCAGAACTGAAACTCTGAACGCTATAATTTCGTTGCGCATCCATAGCTAAAACGCTACACTACTGATAATGGATAACGATCTCCTCACAATAACTTCATTCTCCTGATGGGCCTCCCTGAGCTGAGGTGCAGCAGCATCCCGGTCCTCCGACATTGCTAATGGCTCTGACTGTTCTAAATCTGTTATTTGCCAGTTCATGTTTCTCCATCCAAGCTTCTCTTGTTCTATCATCTTCGATTCCAAATAATCTTGAGACATCTCGCTTTGGTTTGTGCTGTTTCGGATATCGTTATCTATAAGCAATTGTGTTTTTTTTTTCTAAAAAATATCTACGGTGCTAATCCGTGCGCAAGGGCGCGCACTAATCACCAGTGAAAAACAAGGCTTTGGCGAACACTGGACAACCAATCGACCATGCTGCATGCGTGAGACGTGTAGAACTGGATGGGTATGAGAAACAGACGGTAACTACTACTAGTAGCTTGTAAGCAACCTGACCAACACGTTCAAGAATTAAATATATAGAACCCAAAGTATTTGTAACTGAGATTCTGATTGGAGCGTCTTACCACTGACAATTGTAAATTCGGGTGTTTGACAAATTTTTGTTCATTCAAACTACGTACTTCAATGCATGCATGCGTGTCCGTATGTGCTACTTGTATACGAGAGATAAGGGAAGCAAGCTAATAATTGTATTGGCTTTGGGTACGCATATTTACATCGCTAATGCCTATTAGGACGTCCGGATCGCTCCACTCACTGCCGTATGCGCCGCTCATCTAAAAAAACAAAATTAACTCACACACACCTCGCTCCGCTCCGCTCCCGCACTCCTCATCCCCTGCCGCAGTGCACCAACGCCCGGCGTCCTCCCCCACCAGGAGTCTCCAACGCCCATAGATCCGGTGGCCTTCTCCCCCACCCCGGACGAGATCCATGGAGCAGGAGCGAGATCCACTCGCCTCTGGCGAGATCCATAGAGGTGGCGCGGCGGTGTTGCAGGGGAGTGGGCGGCTCTCCTCCACCTCGGCGCGGCGCCCTCCCCACCCCCGATGGTGCCCTCTCTCACCCGACGACCGAGCTCCCCCTACCTCGGCGGCCATGGCACTCCTCACCCCCCATTCCCCACCGTCGCCGCCGAGCCAAGCCCGGTACTGGTGGCACTGGTGCTCGTGCGCCGCCGCTTGCCGCCGGCTCCGACCCCGACGGCTGGAATTGATCGGCCCAGGCTTTCCATCTCCCTTTGTTGTAAATGTATGCAGTCATTTCAAAGGTATGTTGCAGTTGTTTCTTATGAATGTTGCAAAAGTAGATCGGGAATGTTTCATATGTTGCACGTGTTTCCGAAGCATGTTGCAATCGTTTGTTCAAAATGTTTCATCTGTTTCCAGACGTATGTTGCAATCGTTTTTTATCTGGATGTTGCATATGTTTCACACATATGTTGCAACAATATATTCCAAATGTTTCAGCTGTTTCAGTTTTATATGTTGCAGTAAGTGTTTTTTCATTTTGGATTTGTTTTATCTGGATGTTGCATATGTTTCACACACATGTTGCAAAGCGTATGTCCCAAATATTTCATCTGTTTCAAATGTATGTTGCATTCAAGTGTTTCATGTTGCAAGTGCAGACCGCTGGCGTGTTGGTGTCCATGAGGGCGGGCAGGGCCAAGCCGTGGACGCCGACGAGTGAAGGAGGCACAGCCGCCGCCAATGGTGTGGGGAGGAGGCACAGGCCGTGTGGTGCTGTTGTGGAAGAGGCGCGGGCGAGTCATCCGAGCAGCATGGGCAACGGTTCTGAAGTGGACGGTTCGGATGCGAGCGCGGGAAGCGGAGATGGTGCGGGCGACGTGCGAATCCGAAGCGGACGAGGCGGAGCAGCCGCGGTCGTCCAAACTTCCGGACGCTAGTGCTGCCGTATTTACATGGTGGCCAACACAAGGGTGTAGTATATATGTACTCGTCGGACAGTCAATGGACTCGGCTAACACAGTCCATCCGACACGGGGGACAGTTTGTCCGGACATAGGAGAAACTCGGCCAAGAGTTACTGGTTAATGGGTGACGTGGCATCAGAGGAATAGTTTGTTGGGGGCTGGTGAACGTCCTTCTAATTAGGATTCATTGGCTAGGGGTCTCCCTAGCTGGGCGTCCTTAGGTACCAAGGCTACGGTAAGACGATCACCAATTTGGCATCTACAATTAACTTTTTCAAGCTTGATGTAGGAAATTGATGGAGGAGGAGGTTGCAGCATAGAAACCCCACTAATCTGCCGCCATGGTTTGAAATCCCATTAATCTATAACCCATTGTCGGATCTGACCACCATCGATACCGAGAAAGCTTAAGGCCAAGATCGAAACCATGACTTAACCAAGCACAAGATAAGGAGAACCTGAGTCAGGGCAAAACTATAGATAAAAGGATCCGAAAACCCCAAAATGGTCGGTGAGGATCAGGGAAAGATATTTAACTAGGTAGGCAAGGCCACGACGATAGCAAATTCAAGGTTAATAATGTGTAAAGCAAAAAAAAAATTATGAGGACGGATTTTTGGGTCATTACAAGTGGGACCCTCACCACGACATATGGTGTTCATGTTTTTTTGCGGACTAGTCGAGCCTGTTAGAGATTGGCCCCTTCCGTCAAACATGATCGGATAGGTCAAAGGGGCTCCCAAGATTTCGACAATGAGACCTAAGCCCCTCGAGGGCCATTTCCACAGGGTGTGGTGAGCACACCTGGTGGGTGAAGCCCCAGAGCTTGTCGGTCTACCTGGCGTCTTCCAACTCTTCTCGAGTGCTCTCTCCCTAAGTCCTGACTAGCTAACGCCGTCGCAGCTGGTGCGGACGCTGCCGTTGCCAGGATGAGGTCCTGCGTGAGGTCGACCGATTTTTTTTTATGAGCTACTGTTTTGAAGCCAAATGTGTGCACCTTCCGTGGTGAACGTGCCACGCTCCAAAAACATGCTGTGATGTGGTCCGTTCACCTTCCGTGGTGCACTGGCACCAGGCTCCAAAAACATTTTATGAGCTATATGCTGCCCCAGATACCACCGTTTGTGCACTCCTCTGTGACAAATGTGTGCACCAGGCATCTGGCTTGTGCTCCCTACAAACGTGTGGGTGTGGCTGATCTAAGCATCTAGCTATGCATTGGCATAAGAATTAAATTAGCCGGGGCCTTTGACTATCCAGGAACGTATATATACCATGCGACTCACTCTCCATCCTCAAATCAATGCTTTCCATGGCCTAACTCTAGTGAGGGCTTGGCTCACAGCTTAGGGAGAGTCGGCGACGAGCGGAGGAAGGCACGAGTCAATTTGGCTAGTATTCTCACTGCTGGCTTGAAGGCATGCCCTAGCCATTGGAAAACAGTTGAACTGAATTTATTGAATTATAGTCTCTCGAAGGAAGTCTGCTTTGTAGTTGTTTTTAATGTGAAGAAAGCTCATACCAATTTTAGATTCATATGATATAGACTACAAAGCTTTTACATTTTGTTTCACCAGTCTCGATTGAACAAACAACATGTCCGGCATAGTGAGGCATTTATGAGGTTTTCGTCAATCTTAAGATTTGTTGGCATAGTCTTTCAGATATTCATAAAGGTATATTGTGTGTGTGCATTTTTTAGACTAAGTGCAACTTGTTTGTGAGTGTGTGTGCGTCTATATCTCTATCTCTATCTACGACTAAAAAGGTCTTATTGTTTGTCTCGCTAATAATGGCCCTGCCCCGTGCGATTTCCCCGCTAAACACCCCCGCCCCGTGACCGCGGAGCTGCCGCTCGCGCACGACTCCCGCCCACGCCGCCTGCCTCCAACGGCCTAATTTTTTACAATTTGGCATTTTTTCTGAAGAAAATTTACGTTTGGTCTCCTGGAAGACTTAAACTCATCTTTGAATCCTGAGGTCGGCGCCAGAACTCTTGGCGTCGAGGTAACACGTCTTGGCGCCACAGATCTTGGCGCCGAGGTCGAAGACCAGATGATAACATGACGCTGATGTGGCTCCGACATGGCATAGCTCGACGCCAGAATACATGACGCCGAGCTCAGCGCCACAGATCTTGACGCCGACCTGCACGCACCCACACGACGGGCGCGAGGCGGACTGCGGCTGCTGCATGCGCCCTCCTCCCTCGGGACGCGTGACTGGGTTTGCGGGGATAGCTCGGGGTTGCAGTAAATCCTGTGACACCTACCCAGCCTACAGAAAATATTATCTTCTTTAGGCCCCCTTTGGCAGGGCTCCCGCGGGCTTTGGCTCATGCACTGTAGCATCCTGTCGGCCGCACACGGGCCGATAGGTGCCAACATGAGCCGGAGCCGCGGAGCCAGAAAAACGAGCTTCTCCGGCTCCGGTGGTGTCAGTGAGAGAAGAAAGGAGGAGAGAGAAAAACAGCTTCAGTGAACAGTAACCGGGTGTCAACCGCCCACGAGCCGACAGGCGGGAGCCAGAGCCGCAGGAGACCCTGCCAAAGGGGCCTTACTCCTGGAATGGCTCCTGCAACTGCAAATGCAGATTTGACCTCCCAAAACGAATCCAGATCAGGAGAAGATGCTTCACATGGAAGAGTGAGCTCTTCAGCTGAAGGTAGGCCCTTATAAAAGGTTTTCCTGTGTCAGTGAAATCTGTTAATCGCCATTTAGATCCCCCGAGTTGTGCCCAGAACTGTGAAACCGGAAACAAATTTGTTTAGATCGTAACCCCACTATTTTATGTTAATAGGTGGCGATGCATTTGAGATCTGGAAATTGTAGTACAGAAATGTTTGTATTTGATGTAAACATTTTTTTTTGTCCCTTGCAGCTATCGGACAACTGGGTGCACAGCTTGGACCAGCACAACTGAACACTCGGCAACTTGAAGGTAATTAGCTCAATGCTTGCCTGCTGTTTGTGCCATGTTTGCTTTCCATTTTGCTTTTAGAAATCACGGATTCCGTTGTTTCCTTAACTTTCAATCACATCCGGTCTTATTTTTAGTAAGAGCGGAGGAATAAGACTAAAATCACTGAGATACGGACTTAAGCTGATCCTTGATGAAGTCTAATTTTAATTGAGAAATAATCTATGTTACCATCGCTATGTAAAAACACTATCAAATTTTCACTGCGTTTATGTAAAAACATATTAACATATACAAGTGTTGAAATAAGTACACTATCAAATTAAACATATCTAATTAAAGAATTTAATGAAACTAACTTGATATTATGTTATTGCATTTTTTATATAATTGTTCAAAGTTAGTAAAAATTGACTTTAATTTGAATAAAGCTAATATAAATTATATTTAAAACAGAGAGGGCAGATCATATTAGCATATTTAATTTCTCAGTGATGCAACTATTTTAGCCACCTACTTTTTCCTATACTGAGACGTAATCTACTAGAGAAACAAATATACGCAAATAAATAGGGGCTAGCTGATGTGACTCTTCAAGTAATGGAATGCGCTGCACCATCTGCTCCTCTGCATGCGCTGCACGGTCCCCAGCCACGCGTCCAAGGGAGGGGGACGCATGCAGCCAAGCCGAGCGCGAGAACCCACGAAACCAACCGAGCTCCGCCCCATTAAGGCCAGCAGGCAGGCCAGCCTTGACCGGATGCGGTTATCATGCTCGACGCCAGATGTGTGGCTCCGACCTTCAGGATGAAAGATGAGTTTAAGGAGCTAAGGCCGCGTTTAGTTCCTTGTAGAATCGGCGCCGCCAGAATTCTCCGGCACTGTTCTAGCACTGTAGCGCAATGTAACATTTCGTTTGTATTTGGTAATAATTGTCCAATCGTTGACTAATTAGGCTCAAAACGTTCGTCTCGCAAAGTATAACCAAACTGTGCAATTAGTTTTTGATTTCATCAACATTTAGTACTCTATGTATATGTACCACAAATTTAATGTGATGAAGAATCTTTTTTTTTCGTATAGTGCCAAAATTTAGATTCTGACTAACTAAGGGCTAAATTTTTTCTTCGGAAAAAAGGGAAAGTAAAAAATACGGCTCCAACGGTTGCCGAGCCCCGAACCCCAAGCTGTGCCTCTGACCCCTGCTCCCCAGCCACAACCTCCCTGCCACCCCGCTCCCCTTGACCCGGCGCACCTGGCCGTCGCCGCGACGCCGCCGTGACCCAGCACGCGGGCGGCCTCCGGCTCCGACGCGGAGAGCGCCGTGACCCAGCACGCGGGCATCCTCCGGCTCCGGCGCGGAGAGCGCCGCGACCCAGCACGCGGGCGTCCTCCGGCTCCGACGCGGAGAGCGCCGTGACCCAGCGCGGGCGTCCTCCGGCTCCGCCGCGGAGAGCGCCGCGACCCAGCACGCGGGCGGCCTCCGGCTCCGACGCGGAGAGCGCCGTGACCCAGCGCGGGCGTCCTCCGGCTCCGCCGCGGAGAGCGCTGCGACGCCGCCACGACCCAGCACGCGGCCGTCCTCCGGCTCCGGCGCGTAGAGCGCCTCGACACCCCCACTTCCGGCCCTCCGTCCGCCGGTGGCTGGTGCCCGCCGCCGAACCCTACAAGCTCCCTGCTGACGAGGTATGCCATCCCTTCTCCTCCCTTCCTGCTGTGCAAAACTGAATCTTCTCTCCAAAGTGGCTCCTGCTCTCCTTTGGTGTTAAGCTGTCTCATGTAGATTCAGAATTTCAGATCAGGTTGGACTGGGAATAATCAAGTCAATTATTGAATCTGTCAGCCGGAATAGCTAGCTGCAGCAGGCTAAGCAGGCCACAACACCTGGTTTAGGACACCTGGTTGGTTTCGCAATGTTTTTTCCGAATCCTGATTACTTGTTCGTTCTTTTTTTTTATTGTGATTGAATGGCGGAAAAGTTTCCTTAAACACAAATCCAAGCTTATCAAATGATATGAATAAGAATCTGTAATTATACAATCTGCGATTTCGCTTCCACTTTCCTTACATGCTATAATGACGGTTTTCTGGAAGTCACATTTCCTTGGATGGCTAATATGCAACCTATATCCATAAGTGCACCTTAACCGTGTGTTATTTGTTGGTTCCTAATTCTGCATTTCAGATGGAAGCATTTGTTTTTTTTAAAAAAACAGGGCTATATTCCTCATGTTGATTTGGTTAATTCAATATCGGTTAATGCTACATGAGCCATATATCCCCGTTCACAGAAAACCAAATGTTTCCATGTGAAATGCAGAATTAGGAACCAACAGTTAACTAACGGTTAAGATAGTTAATTGTTAGCCATCTTCTGTTCTAAGGCAGATTTTTAGATTAAAATTTAGAAATTAAGAATCTCTGCAGCATTGAGGAAATGTACCGGACCCGAAGTTGTCGACTGGTCCACCGTATGCTTAGTGGGCTGTATATGACGTCCTTTGTGATGATAGTTGTGGGTACGGATGAAAACGGTACGGATATTTTCCGACCGTATTCGAGACCGAATTCGTTTAGAGAGGTTTAGATCTGTCCGTATCCGAGTCCAGATATTCAACATCTGATACCATATCCGTATCTGAATACTTAAATCGCATATTTATGATGTCGATACCCAATGTTATCCTATCCAACATAGTTGATATTATCCGTATTCGAATCCGAATCCAAACACAAATATGAAAACAAATGTAATATCGGTGATATCCGTCCGTATCCGATCCGTTTTCATCTGTCTGTCGACCCCTCAATTTGAGAGTCATCAATGCATCCGTATTTGCACCAGGATCACGCACAAATACGCACTCATCATAGGGATGGTACACAGATATATATATTAAAAGGTTTCGAGCTTTATTGATATCTAGAAATAGGGTCTTACAACGGTAGCCTAAGGGGCATGGTCATAGACTACATATCTAGCGGAAGGCTACGGCCGTGAAACGACATTATTGGTGGTTTCTAAAGCGGGATTATTATACAGCGAAGCAGTATCCTATTCCACAGGCAACTTGAGCATGGGTGAAACCCTAGCCTCGATGTCACATTCCTACGATCGTATCTTCTTATGGGAAACCTAATCCTCGTGGTACGCTTCATCTTCAAAGTCATAGTCTTCTTCTGTGCCGAGGTCTGTGAGTCAACAACGGGTGAGTACATACGTACTCAGCAAGCCCAAACCATAGGGTGAAAACAGAAGTGTACTGGTGATTATAATTTAAGGGTTGGGTTGGGTCCTAGCGGAGTATTACCATTCCCACTAGTGCCCGGGTTAACATCAATTCTATTACTAGTTTCATTACACATAAAAGTAAAGCTAATCATAGTATCCCATCCTAGCATTTCCCATTCTAAGGACATGGCTATTTGAATAGATTTAATAAACTCTACAGAGGTGTACAAATTTCCCAACACAATAGGTGCAAGCTCATCCATGATCAGTGGACGAAATAGACCTAACGAGACCTCATATCCGAATGTACGCGACCTTAGATATCCATATAACTCCACTACGGCTTCTCAGGGGTTGGAACATAAAACTGGAAAGATACCAAATCCCCCCAAACATGAGGATACCAAATCACCACAAAAGATAAACATGGCTCGAACACGGCCAAGAAAACAGTGGCTCGAAAGCGGCCTAAAAACCAAAAGCTTAACGTGGAAGATCACATAGCATCCACGCCAACCGGACACGGAAGGAAAACCTATCCCCCGTATCGGCTCCTGACAATTTGCTGCCTACACCGGCCTCCTAGTAGATATTATATCTCTAGCTAACGGGGTGTGAGATCAAGCCTACCCATATAGACATGTGGCTGTACGAAATGACTCACTAAGCGAGAGGGACTATGAACCGGTCCTTATGTGACCGAGGCGAGTATCTCCCATAGGAATCCTCTCCAGGCATCCCTGCATGATAAACTACCTCCGTAGTTTATCACTACTCGCCCCATGTCAGGGTTTAGTTTCAGGTTTAACAAGTTTTAGGTTCCATTATTATCCCTAAATCTAGTCATGGTGTGGAGCTCACAAAATGATAAGATAACCATTTATCTTGGTCATATCGCATTAACCGAGCTCATTCTCTAGGGTAATAATCTTATAGACATGTTTTAGCATTTCAGTGGTTTAAAGCAAGATGGTAGGGAGGGGAGCTAGGACTTGTCTTCGTTGTTGTCACCTTCCGGCACATCTATGAAATTCGGGTCTTCGTCCTCCTGATGATTTTTGTCGTCTATCGGACGTATCGATCGAATAAGACTACCGCTATACGCGAAAGAAAAACACAAAAGCGAACATAGAACTATATGGTGGCACTAGGTCCAAATGGTAGGGTTTGATTTTAGATGAATTTTAGAAGTGATTTCATGCAAAAGGAGTTAGGGTTTAAAAGTTATGTATTTTTAAAGTTTATTTTATAGCTAATTGACTAGGGGGAATTTTATATGCATTTTCTAGTGCATAAAAATATGTGCAAACTAGATGGTTAATTTCCTTAATGCATCTAGTTTATTTACAAATTTTCTAGAAATTTTTCTAAGCTAGGAGAATGTATTTTTAACTCTCTGTGTACACTAGCCAGGTGTACCCAGCATTTCCTAAAGCGTACCATGCGATGCATGTGTGTGATGTGTGTGTGTGACAGGTGGGCCACCTGCGTGTGTCAGCAGTGTTAGTGGCGTCGGTGTTTAAGGCAGTGGGCCCACGTGTCAGTGAGAGAGAGAGAGACGGACGGGGACGGAGGGTGACGGCAACGCCGTTTCCTCTCGGTCCCACCTGGCGGAGATAGGGGAGGGAGAAGAGGGGAACGACAGTGGACGGAGGTGCCTGCGCTGGTGATGGAGTAGGGGAGGGGGAGCAGGGCTCGTTGGAGCAGCTTACACCGGCGGCGTCAGCCTTCGGGGGTGGTGGATGGAGGGTGGACGGGGTCCGCGGGGTCATGCCGCAACCGGTGGCGGGGTCGCTATTGGCAACGGGTGCCCGTGGTGGTGGTGGTGGCTCGCCGGAGTGGTCGCTGCGGCGCTATGCACTAGACTCGGCCATAGAGGCCCTATTCTACTTAGCTAACTACGTGTACGTGCATGCGGGTGA